GGGGGCAGGTTCTGGACAGGGCGCAGGACTAGAGCTCACCCCGCTCGGAGACTGGTTCACCAAATCACCACGAAGCTTGGGACTACAAGACGAGGCTCGTTCTCGCTTTTCCTTCTCTCGAGTGACGGGAGAAGAGGATTTTACGAGGCCAACAGACAGATTGCGAGTAAACAGGGGGCACGATATGTCCTCGGCAGGGACTGGAGGAGGTTTGGGCGCTTGGCGCTTGTGAGCTCGTGCAGTTTCTAGAGCAGCCACCTCGTGTTGCTGCTGAGGTAATTTCTCTGTGACGTCACATTCGACTGCAGACACCTGCAATACAAACACTTAACATTCTGCATTTGCGTTCGCAAGTCCTTTTATACGGGAAAAATATATTCCTAGCCTGCAAGATCAGATTTTGTTTCAGTTGACATTTTCAGGACGAGTACGTAATGGTTTGGCATTTTTGGAAGCTTTATACAGTGGAGGGAGCAGGATGAGATTGCACTCACTTCTGGTGGAGCGGAAGAGAGCGCTGTTATTCAACTACGGATGAGAATGCGTCTCAGGAAAGAGGTAACAACGTTCAACGGGAAAGGGGGTGTTGAATATATTTTAGCAACTTATTTTTTATTTATTTAGTGTTCTGTCTGACGACAGGTCCATATGAACAGGATCCTTCCATCCTTTTCTCGGACTGGGACCTGTTCATATACGTTCTTGGCAGATGATCCAGAAGCGGTTTGCCATTGCCTTCTTCTGTGCGTGAATGGAGTAATTGTTGGGATGGAAGGAATATGAAGGATTTTAAGCAGAAATTTAAAGAAGATGTAATTGAAAAAGTCATGGAACTTAATATACTTTGAAATTAACATAAAAATTTGTCTTAAAAGAAATGGACTACGATTTTTGAGATACAAATGGGAAATACCAGTATCATGTCAAATTAGAAACACAGACATGTTAAAGAAACTAAATATTTGTTTTGTAATTAATGGTTAATCTGATCGATAAAATTGTTAACCCAATTTTACGTAATGGACAATAACATAACCTCAAAACTTTTATTTTCGGTGTACAGGTTACATAGACGTAAACTGACTGAATGAATATCTGTATCTGTGCCAACCTAACCTCAATTTGTGTCAGTAAAAAGTCGCAGAACAGGTAACAGACTCAGCTTTACCTCTAACACGTGCTCCTGGATCTGGGTGAACGCGTCATGGTGTCCTTCTTGAGTCTGTTTTGGTGACTGGGGTAAAACATGTCTCCTCGGAGCTGCTTGCAGTACCTTTGTGCTTGGTTTCACTGGTATTTTAGGCTTGTCCCCTGGTCCTTTCCTCAAAGTATTAACCTGAGTGAGGGCATGAAGGAAAGACGGCCGAGGATCGATGACCGGAGGGGGGCTACGCGGAAGAGCAGGAGGTTCATTGAGTTCGTCAGGATCTGCCCTGCCGTCCGGTTCTCCCGCAAGCTCTCTGCTCTCTTCTGCACAGAACATTTCCACATCCTTCTCTTTCAATAAGACTTCTTCTGTGACAGATTCGCCTGCTGGTTTAAAATCTGTAACATCTTCAGCTCTGACTGTCACATTAACTGGATTAGTTACTAAAGATTCTCCTTCAATTTTACGAACACGTAAGGTTTCGATTTCATCCTCTGTTACAATTTCGCCTGACAACTTACGTGTTTCTTCGTTCACAGGAGACATCGGACATCCCACGCGAATCTCTTTAGATGTGCTTTCAATGTTACACGAAATGCCAACAGCTTCTTTATCTAGATCTCCAATACAATTAACAAATGTTTCAATTTCATCAGCAGTTGGATTTACGTCTTTTGATTCTACTACAGCGGTGTTTGAGCTCGTGTCACATTGCTTCATACCGTCATCAACGCCTGTTACACTGCATAGTTTTGAAGGAGTATCTGTACTAAAATCTCCTCTGTTTGCGAGAATCTCTAAGCCTTTTACAAGCTTTGCTTCGCTTTGAGAGACCGAACTTGAAATAATGGCTTCAGGACATACACCGCTATCCTTTTTGAGCCTATGGTTTGAGCAGTCTTCATTCTGGTGGCTTTGCCCACTATCTTTGCAAATGGCCTCACTCGTAACTAAATTTGTACCGTCATCCTTAACAGTATTCTCTATTTTCCTCAAAGACTCGTAACTACTTTTTCGGACAGCTGGTTTTGGTAAAGTCCCCTTTGGCTTGCTTAACAGATCGTATCTCCCACTGAATGCAGATGTTCGACTCACCACCTTGAATTTCTCTGGAGAAACACGGCTCTTTATCACTGGAATGCGACTGACTTTACCTTCTGAGGTTTCATTCTCATTTGCTTTCGAAATATTTTCTCCAATTTCTCTTGATATCTGGGTAATATTTCTTACAGACAACTTCAGGGATACCTCAGATGCTGCCTTGTTTGATGGAGCATCTTTAGTTTTGTATTTAAAGTCTTGCGGATGTGCAATGTCTACAGCATTCCGTTCATCTCTTGTTCCAGCGTCAGTATCTCCTGGTATCTGACTGGTACCATTTGATTTCAAAAGTGATTTAAGAATGATATCCCTTGAATTCTGATGAGGAAGCCCATTCTTTTTAACAAAAGACTTTTTCATGCTAATGTCTGTCTCCTTTAAAGAGTTCTCACCATTTGTCATTCCTAAACTTGAAGTATTCTCCTGCTTTGATCCTGTATTTTTTATTACTGACTTGAGAACAATCTCTCCAGACTTTTCATTTGGAATTTCACTGTTCTTTCCAAAAGATGACTGCGTGATTATCTTAGTCGTGTCCTGATGCTTGCCAAGGATATTTTTTTTAATGCTCGTCAATGTGGGCACACTGGATTCGTCCTGACCACCAAATGGAGTAACAGAGACTTGCAATGTTTTTCGACGTCCTTCGGCATCAGTGAGCGGTTTCCCGAGTAACAACTGTGTGTAGGTTCTCTTTGTTTCGCTGTTTCCCGATCCTGACAGATTTTCCACCAGACTGTTAAAGTCCGTGTTGGTACGAGTAAGTCTCTGCAAGGCCCGATCCTCTTCAACATCAACATCGTCATCGCACGTCAAACCATTCTCTTCAGGCTCGATGATATCTTCACTATCTGAAGGGTATAACTCATCTCCTCCAAAACCAATCACCTCTGATTCCTCAGCTGGAAAGTGCACGGCAGAACCTTTTGATCGGCGGACATGTTGCCTATCTTTCAGGATGCCCTGTAAACATATTACACCATCCGATAATAATAAATAAATTTTATTTTTAGTGTTCTATCTGGCGACAGGTCCATATGAACAGGATCCTTCCATCCTTTTCTCTTCTCGGACTGGGACCTGTTCATATACATTCTTGGCAGATGATCCAGAAGTGGTTTGCCATTGCCTTCTTCTGTGTGTGAATGGAGTAATTGTTGGGATGCCACGGAGGAAAACTCCGTGTTGCCTAGACTACGGCCTTGCCCAACACAAGTTATAAATTCGGGCACCGACGGGAATCGAACCCGAGAGCCCAGGATTACAAGGCCAGCGTTCTAACCGCTGGACCACCGTGGCTACAATAAATAAATAAATAAAAAAGTAAAGTTAATTAAATCTTTCAGAATGCCTTCTGGCACAAGTAAGTAATGAATCAATAGCAAAGACTGATTTGTAAAGACACATACAAATGTCTGCGATACCTGAAGAGCTGTGTCCGTCTGCTGCCATGAGCGGGTACCACTTGGGTACGTGGTACCCAAATAGAGACTCTTGCCTTCACCTGTGCCAGATCCATTTGTATTGTGCTCCTCTTTGGATTTGAAGCAATTTGAGCACAAATCTTTCCTCCACGCATTCTGAACGAAGTGGCGGCACAGAGACGCCATTTCTTATCTCTGCTTAAACGATTCCATCAAGAATCCTGTGGAGAGTAACACAATGCAACATCATACGATATTTCCATAAAAAAAATTTCTGAACATCAGAAGACGAGTTACAGAAATTTTCAAGAGTAACAATAATCACTTTAATATTATCTATAACGTAAATAAAATCCCACATAGCCAATTCTCTCATGTGGGATATATTTTTTAATTCAAAGTCAGGATATCCCGGCAGGACTGAGACTTTCGTACGCTGCATATCACCCGAAGCTTGCCTGGGTATATAATACGAAATACTTCATCTCAAAGCCAAGTGAAGTCAGAACTGGTTTCATCCCAATAAAGGATGAAATAAGATGAGAAAATTAATTCTGAAGAGGACTTCTCCCTGACGCTTTTAAGAGCATCCAAGCTCTCTGAATGTTGCTATAGTAACCAAGTCCAAATTAGAAAGCAGCTGCCTTAACCTTGTTTGTTGTCCGTTTACTTTGCATACTTATCGTCTTAATTGCCTGATTACTCACAAGGGACAGTGACCCCAAGTGAAGAGATTACTGCATTGGGAATATATTAGAACGTTTCTGGCAACACAATTCTTCCTGACGTTACAAATTGGTTTCTCTGTTTTCCATTTATACAGATGTATGCAAATGAAGAAAGTCCAAAGGGGAGAGAGAGAGAGAGAGAGAGAGAGAGAGAGAGAGAGAGAGAGAGAGAGAATATTTCTGTTGGTACATTCAGACAATTTTCAGCGAAACACGACGTTCAGTTGTCTGAACCATGTGAACTGGGCATGCAAAGGAACAAACCAGTGACCTCGACGTGGGACCCTACCAGTAACAAAGACTTCCACTTAGCGCCTTGTCAGTGTTAGGGGAAAGTGTGTCTCGTCCTTGCTTCATCTGTTCCACTCAGCTTCACATAGTTTCATTATATATATTTACATTACAAACAGCAGACGGCTTCTGGTTTAAGTGGGAAACTGACAGTTCTATGAGCATCTGTCAGGGGCAATACAGTTGGGATGCTGGTCTGAAAATAAACTAACCCCCTCGTCAAAAGAACTTTCCTAGAAATAAAAGCATTCCCTTGCCAAAAGAAAAAAAAATTAAGCACCGTATTTCCGGCATCATAGCCCATAACACACAAAAAAAGATACAATCAAGACATACTCCGTCCCTATTCTTATCTACTTAAAATCAAACATCTCATCTGATTCTACGCTGATCAACAAATCACTGCAACTGAAACAGCGTACTCAAATCACCGAATTAACCAAAGCCCTCCACTGGGCCAACAAAATCCAGTCTCCTTCAACTCCTATCTCCCATAGATCCCGCCTGAGATTATCCTCCCATCTACGTCTAGGTCTCGCCAGCGGTCTCTTCTCCTCAGGCTTCCCAACCAGTACCCGGTGCACACCTCTTGTCCCATCCATGCGCGCTACATGCCCAGCCAATCTCATTCTTCTCGACTTAATCACCCTGACAATATTGGGGGAGGAGTACAGATTTTTAAGTTTTCTCCACGCCCTATCGTCTTCCCTCTTAGGCCCAAATATCCTCCTCAAACACCCAATTCTCAAACACCTGCAATCTGTGTTCCTCCCTCTGAGTGAGAGACGCAAAAACGCGGGAGAAAAATTACTAGTTAGCTTGAGAGAATATGCAGAAGTTGGTAGTCTGTTACGTTATTTCGTAACTTGATAATCTCCGGTCATCGAACACCCATCAATCAGAAACAGCCCAAGGCCTCGGGGGCGAGACAAGACTAGAGCCGGTTGCAAGACCTCAATATAATCCCTGACGTAATATCGGCCTCGTCGGCTTCGTCACGCACGAAACTTCCTTTTCTGCCGACTTAAAAAGGATTCGCCGACAAATCCCGAAAAATACCGTCCAACTCGGCTGGGATACCGCGATCTGGACGCTGTTGTATGGCGCGTGATGGGGGGATTGGACTTAACTGGCTCAGACTGACCTCCTTCTGTTTTTGCGACCCAGATGAGTCTTCTCAGGTGTGACAGTCGCGTTTAACCGGATGGCCTCGTTCGAACAACCGTCAGCCATGTTGCCGCGTCTCTCACTTCCGGTCCATTTTGCTCCATTTTCCGACCACACGTAAGACAAATAATTACCCATGCCTACCGCTGTCCGTGATAAGTCGAAGATGGCGATCTCCATGATGACGAAGGCAGCAAGCACCTCCGAAACGTCGGTCAGTTTCTACCAGACTACACGGTACTCGGTAATAAAATGATTTCAAGCGCTGGAGATCACAGACCGATATTAATTAAAATAATATCGTAAACCCTGAAGGGAAAATACAACTGGCATGACCTCGGCGTAGACGGAAGTCTATCTTGAAATGTGATAAGAAGTTACCGAATGGATTCAGATGGCTCAGGACAGTGTCTGGTGGTTTGTTTTGTGAACATGGTAATGAACCTTAGCTTTTTCAATAACAGACAAGGAATTTCTTGAACAGATAAGCGACTATCATGAAAATACTCTCAACCATGGAGTTGAACACGTTACAACACGTCACATTAAAAGGGACATGACAGAGCGTCATTTTTTTTTACAGCAATGGAGCAAAAGTACAGGAAACAGGGGTGACAGAAGGTCGTCAATTATATTTCCCCTTACGAAACCATCAAGTGGACAGTCCACAGTCTGACACCGCCGTTGACCAGAGACCGCTTCAGTATTATCTTTTTTTCTCAGAAGGTTTATCCTTTCGTTAGTTTCTGACCTTAATTTCATATCACTCCATGCATGCCACATATTCGGCCCATCTTACACCAATTTATTTAACCCACACGTACCAGCTGCTTTAACAATCAATAATCAATTGTGTACTTACGGGATTCGTATGATTCTCACTGTAAACAGCGATCAGAACCTTAAACAGCGTTAATTAGTTGATCTTTGTAATGGTTCAGTGTAGTGTTTTCTTCGCGGTACGGACTGAATTCTTAAGTTTCATTTGAAAGAGCTTCGGCTCCAAAGGTTAATTAGCGTTTTAGTCGTATTATTTCCTTAAACAAGGTTAACCAGTTGATCTTTG